ATGGATGTTTGTTTGTGATGTTTACCTTCTTTTATTTTTAAAGTAAATTTTTAAAAATAAAGGCAATGTGCTAAAGATGAAAACTACAGGAATCTGAGAGGTCTTAAAAACTATTCTCTAGGACTAATTTTCATTTGAAATGAACTGAAGTCCTGTAGCCTAAGAACATCTAGGACACAGTGTGACAAATGTGAAAGTTTCCATCTACTGGAAACTTTATTGATATTCTGAAAAGAGAGAACACACTGTAACCTCCAAAATAAAAATGAAAAAAAGTCTAGTAAAATCTTTCCACAAAAGACTATTCAATGAATAAAAGAGAATGTTGGAGATTAAGTGTAATCATTCAAGGAGCAGAGCTGCAAAGATGTATTCTTTCATGGGCAAAATGCAAAAATTAATTCACTGAATAATCACTGAGTTATTATGAAGGTATAGTAATGAGGGGTTACAAGTATAAGGCACTATTCCCGTTACACAGCACTCACAAAATATCAAAGTAGCAAGAGAAGCTTGATATGACTAAGTGTGTAAATGAATGGTTTATACGTTATCCCCAGAGACGCTCCAACATTACTTTGGCCAGTGAGTGCCAAGGTATCGGAAAGCAGTTTGGAAAATATAAGAAATATAAGAATGAAAAAGTAACCAAAGACTGATCTTATGGAATTGATATGATTTTGATAAACAGGACAACAACCACAGTCAGAGGTCCCTTGGTACCCATGGGTGTTACATCCTCAGATTCTACTAACCACAGAATAAAAATATTTTTTAAAAAAATTTCCAAAAAGGTCTAAAAACAAAGCTTGAAATTTCCATGCTGCAAGTCCTACACAAAATCTGTTCAAACGAAGTGATATTGTTATGTTTAGTTCTGAAACGGGCCCTGAAGCCTCAGGTGTGAGAGAGGATGCGTTCTGCGGCATCGCAGCCGGAGGGGTTGAGGTCTGCTCAGAAAAGGCCGCTGTGTGAGACTGAGGGTCTGTCACCCTCCCAGCTTCGCCTCCAGGCCATCGCGATGCCTGAGGCCGAGCGGGCAAACATAAGTCAAAATAAATCTCTTCTCCTTTAACTCACGGGTGTCAGTATTGTTGCTCAGCAACAAGAACTTGATTATAGACGTTGTACCCAGGTAGGGTAAGCTAGAATTGATTTACAGTATATGAGAGCATTACATAGATTGCATGAAAATACCAACATTTCCCATGAAGGACTTTAATGCGAAACCCTAAACCCCAGGATGTCAGTGTGGATGAGGCTGGAAAGGGGCGGGGCCCTGGAAGAAGCCCGCCTGGGATGCTGAGTGGCCCTGGTGTGATAAGAGACAATTCTATCTGCAGCCTTGGAAGGAGACCTTGAACTACCTGCCTTTGTGCTCATCTTTGTCTTCACTGCATGACTGCTTAGCTCGTCAACTCGAAGAGAAGCCAGCAAGTGGATTAATACCAAGAACTAGAATTCTAAAATCTTAAGGGCTTGGTGTACCCAGTAACAAATCAACTAACAGACCCTCAGCCTCCTACCACCCCACCCCGGTTATCACCGTTCTGGTGAGTGTTTCACCTCTGCTTAAACGCCACCTGGAACCAGGAACTTGTGATTTTTGAAGGACTTAATTCTCCATCCTGTTTTACAATATTTCACAGACAGCCTCCAAAATATTTTAAGTATACAGACTAATATCAATCTTCTGTTTATAAAAGCAATGAAAATCCTAGGGGAAGCATTTGCATAGTAACATGAAAGTCTTTCATATAATTTTTATTAAACCCAGACCACGTATAAAACTAAAACCTCAACTTGCCTGGGACCACAAAGCAATTTAGTGACAGAACCTGGTCTAGAAATTCAGTCTCCGGCCACGAAATATCTTTTCAGTACACATTACTATACCATATATTCTAAGCCAAAGACTATGTTGTACTCCAGATCAAGAACTACACGCTTTATTTCTAAGCCTTCTGAAAATGAAATACATAGTGACCTCTTGAGATATATGTCCCTTCCTCCATGTACGGTCCTCTTTTTCAATAAAGCAAAGTCAGCAGTTACTTTAATGCAGCTCTCAGAAATACAAGGAGTTCATTGGAAGATCTGAGACAAAGCTTTGCTAAATACACGGTTTCCTCCATGTGCCACCACCCCACCCCCTGCTCTTTCATATAAAATAGTACGCTATAACTTTAAACAATTCCCTGTTATCCAGGCATCTCTACTCATGGAAAGTACATGTATAACAGACATATGGAGAGAGTACAGGTATTTTCATACAGGTCTTATCAAAAGGCAAACTAAGGGTTTGAGTGTTTTCTAGAACTGAAAACACTCACAGAAACGGTATCTCTAGCCTTTTTGACATATGAATCCTGTTAATCACTGTCGTACTATCTTTTCTTTCTTTTATCTTTTTCTTAAGTGGTGGGATCAATTAACACAATATCACTATCTAGCTGCTTATTAATCTCTTTTATATGTTTATTGAAAATTCTTCAGTGATAATTTTATTACATTAGCTTACTTAAAACATGTCCAATGAAAAATAATCAAAAACCCTTTGTCCACAGAAGTTGTTCCACTAACAGTTCATAAAATTGGATGTCAGCTTCTTTCATGACAATTTCTTAATTATTTTAAACTAAACAAAGTTAAGAAAGGTCGGTGTTTATCAGCTATGCAAATATCTCAAAATTCCAGGATGTTTTGTCTAGTTAATTATTGAAATGTCAACTAAAAACACTGAAATAACTTCCCTAGTAAAAAGGTACTTGTCAATGAATAATTCAAAGCACCAAATCCTACTGCACGGCACTCACAGCATACTAAAGAAAAAAAAAATTAAATGGCGCTCATTTTTAACAATTTATATTTGATCTTATCATTTTTAAAAAAACTTGAAATTACTGTAAGATAAATACATCCCTATAATAAGAAAAATTAACATAAGAATAAAATAGAAATCAACTAATGAAGATGTGTGACAAAAAGTCACACTAGAAAAACTTTAGCTTATAAGAACTACTAAAAATTAATCTTACTAGAGAACAGTCAATTCAAATATAAGGGGCTGGGGATTTAGCTCAGTGGCAAAGCTCCTGCCTGGCAAGCGCAAAGTCGTGAGTTCGGTTCCCGGTACCGGAGAAAAACAAAAACAAAAACAAAAAAAAATATAAAATCACCCTGAAGATATGTACTGCAATCCTACTTAGTGGCAGGTGCAGACAGAGTATTATATGTGGTAAAGTAAAATCAGACCACTTATAAAACTGAACAGTGATAGTCATTAAAATCTGAGACACAGGTAGGATAGAGGTAAAAATAATCTGTAGTTTTTCTAACCCTTTCCTCCAGACTACTAGAGAATTTCTGCTTGATCCAATATCAAACAGCTTTCCTTTTTATCTCTATCTCTGATTTAATGCTCTTATAAGACCAGTAACTGATTCTTTGCCATTAATGCTATAGAATTACAATAAATTGGCACTTACATAAAAGCTTTACTGTTTTGTACCACATCACGCATATTTATATACCATTTAGGCCAACAGATGATATAGAGTGGTTTATGGGATACATAAAGTACAAATTAGCATAATTTAAAAGTTGGTTGAAAAGAAAAAATAAAATTAAAGACAAAACAAGCTAGCTATCCTCCACTGGCGGCCACACATTTGGCTCTTTTCGTTTTAGTAGCCAACCTGAAATAAGAAAGCCCATCCCTTACAGAATTACAATTTCAGAGGGAATGTTTTCCACTGCTTAAGAGAAATGCAATTATCCTTGATAGTCAGATGCTCTAATTTCACCAAAACTTTTTTCAAAAATGTTAGGGCATAAACATTCTTCATGCCTATAATATATACCGCAACCTCTTTGCACGCATATCTGGTTTTTATCATTCCAAGAATAAAAGGAAAGGTATTGAGTTGTATGTTTACAATCTTCTGCGTCCCCACTGTTCACACACACACCGCCCACTGAGAAAGCAGATTCTCTCTCCTTTTGCGGGCTCAAAGCACCAGAACAGCCAGATTCTAAAACAGGTCCCCAAAGCTAACTTCATCTATTTAATAAAAGTTCAAACCAGAGAAAAGCAGGATGATATTTCAGAAGCCTGTGTGACCTGAGCTTCCTGGGAGCATACAATGGAATGGGAGAGAGATATTTCCCAGCTGCTGTGTATGGGTGATTGGGAAAATGATAAAATTAAGGAGAAATACTTATGAAAGATTTATTCTGTTGCATAATTATTTCCCTTTGGCTGTGCAATAAAAAAAAGTAGTGAAGACTTACATTTTTATTTCATTATTTTGGTTAACACTCTGTTGTTTCTTTGAATGTAAAATGCTAACAAAACTGGGCCATGAGACGGCCAGCTTTATACCACTTATAGTCTAATGACCTCAGTATAGAATAATGGCATCCCGGGGCCACCTGTGGTTCCAACCATCTGCACACTGTCTCACAGTGGACGAGAAGGGACTTCTCCATCTGTCCAGAATTCGCTTATGTAAAAATAAGGTTTTTTAAATTTTTTTAAAACCCAGAAATTTTCTTTCAGAAACTACAAAAAACATAATCAGGAAATTTGAACCAAAAGAGCACTTTCACCAAATGTGATTTTGGGGTACACAGAGCCCTGTGGAGACCCCAGATCTCTCAGTGATCACACACTGTTTAAATAATGGTTTGCAGCTTCACAAACTCAAATAAAATTGGCATTATTTGTATATTTGGTTGTAAGAGTGCAGATTTGTGCATGGCTAGCAACACTGGCTTACAGGAAGAAAGGGTCACACATGAGACAGCTGGCAAACTCCCCACCCTTCCTGGTCTCTTCCGCACCTCTCTTCGAGCAAAGCTACCAGCATTTTGAGCTCAAAGCAGCAAAGCTCTGTGCAGGGACTGCATTCCCACAGAGGGGCCCTCTGTGAGGCAGCAGATGTGTCACAATGGCCCTGGTGAGGACACTCCCTGAAGGATGTCAAAAAAAAATCGGGGTAGTGTTGGAGTGCAGCAAAGCTCTCACAGGCATGTGGGTGGAAGCTACAGGCCTTTGCAGCTGACCCTCAACTTCATGTGGCCTCCAAGGTACACTCAGGGCAACAAAGGGACTTAAATCATACATAAAACCAAAATAACATCACCTGATATGCAAGCACTCAGAAACTGTAAAGTACAATGTAAGTACATGGTAATATTACAACTAAATTCAAAAATGATTTACATTTGTAGGTAGTGTCAGCCCTGATTCCGAATATCTAAATTTCCATGCACTATAGGGAAGATGCTTCTAAAAATATGCAACTTACTTACAGACGCTGAACTAAAGTATAGGAAGTTCTTACTTTTATAACCAGATGTAATATTTCACTTCACTTACTTATGTTTAATCCTATTCTCAAGGGTTTGAAATTCTTCTGAGCAGAAGTCTTTCCTTGCCCAGCTCTCACACAAGTGCCAGGTTCCACACCCACATCCCTCTCTGTTCTTCCACAGATCGCCCATCCCACGCTCTCTCCAGATGGCAAAACGGGCCTTTCTTGTGTCCTTTTGCCTTAAGGTCTGACTTCAACACTTGCTTGAACCAAGTCAAAAGCCTCATTAAACATCAGCTAAAACACCTGGACAGAAGATCCCGAGGGAAAATGAACAAAGGGAAAGGAAAGCAGAGGGCTGGCTGACATCTTCTTAAAGGAAAAGGCAGAAAACTAAGCTTCTAGTTTAAACACAATGGCCTTCGCACATGTTCTGAGAATTGTAATGGTGAGTGAAATATGATGAGTTTTTTCTGTACCTATGAGTTTTGTACTGAGAACAGTAAATGTAGAAAATAGTACCTGTTACTTGATGATTACATGACTGATACTAATTACCCTGTGGCCACAGGCATTAGTACGAGTTTCAAGTAATATTAAACTCAAAGCAAACCCGAAATTCCTTTTTATTCACTCAAATCTGATCAAAAGCACAGAAAAGCCTATCTGCTCCTCAGAAAATTTAAGTTTTTGATCAGTTTTCATTCCCAAACCTCCACCCTGCCTACCTTTCTTTAAACTAATGTTCTGACCTACAATAGGAAGCATATTAGTGAAATTACCATGGGAAGTAGACAGTGCCACTACACAGCAGCTCATATCAGTGCTGCAAAAGATAGAAAATCTTTTATGAAATGGAGTATACCATAGGTATCTGCAAGAGTCATGCTTTTGAAACATGCTGTAGGATTTTGAGGGCTACACAGTAACAGTCAGTTACCTTTCTGCAAGGAAAGAATAATTCTGCAAAATCTTAACATGTTCCTATACAGTACTAGCCATGACCATTTGATCCAGTATGACCCAGACAGCTGTTGCATTGTAACAGCTGCATTAGAATGAGTCTTCCCTCTAGGATGTTAGTTAAATAGAAATCTGATTACTAATTCAAATAACAATATACGGAGTGAGCCTCAAGTCTCCATAAAAATTGTTTATAGCAACTATAGATATTCATGTTATTTCTAGAGGAAGCCTATCCCCTGGGCCAATGTTTGTAGTTTTTTTATTACTACAAAGCTCAAAAGTGCCTTTCATGCTCAGCAGGCACATAACAGGCAAAGAACTGATAAACCGAAAAGCTATCATAAGAATATAAATCAAAAGTTCTATAAAATTTGGCTCGTCTACCCAAATACGTCAAAAACAAGATAGCTGATGCCACTTACCACCGACAAAAAAGAACTTGAAAAGCATGATATTTTAATTCTGATTTTTGCATTTGTAGATTCTCCCCCACCAAATTGATCCACTTAAGCCGGGCACAGTGGCGCAAGCCTGTAATCCCAGCACTTGGGAGGCTGAGGCAGGAGCATCGTTGCAAGTTCGAGACCAGCCTGGGCTGCAAAGAGAGCTCAAGGCCAGCCTGAACTGCATATCGAGACCCTGTCTCAAAAAAAACAAAAACAAAAAATAAATTGATCCACTTATGTACACTTTCCCCCAAACATATATTTTATGAGACTCTTGCCCTTCAACATGAAAGACAAATCATAGCAATTTTCAGCAGAACTAATCAACTTGTTCAGTTAAAAAAAAAATGATCAATTAAAATTTCATCTTTAAAAACAAATCAACTCTTAACCATAGATTAATGGTGCTGAAAGGAATTGCTTTGCAACTTGACCACCAAATGGGACATCTCTACTATGCTGCAATACAAGGAGAAACTGAAGAGAAAAAAATCTACAAAACTCTGTGTCAGGAGAGGAAGTATAAGGAACACCACAGGAAGGAACCATTTATAATCATTTTCTGCTTCACATAATTTAAAGCTGTGGACCAGGAGCCAAATAATGGCAGGGGATATACCTCCTACCAGGCAAACATTGAGGTAACCAGCTCTAATATAACCGACACAGACTAATTATTCTCATAAATATTCTTCACAGTGTTAACACAAAACATCACCACTCTGGCACTAACAGCAGCAGACCAGCAAGTAGCAGAAAATTTAGATCCAGCACTTTCTTTAAACTTAAATTAGCATATCATAGCAATAGAGAGAGAGAAAACAGAACTAGACAGAACCATGATGGAAAACTTTCAGAATCTGAAAATAGGAAGAAGTATTTTCAGATTCTAATAATGAGGATTCTAATTGATGAAGATACCTAACAATAATATCTAAACCTTTTTAAGCACATTAATTCCATTGTCCAAATTAATCCCTCAACAACCTACGTAGACAGAATTATTTCCTTATTTTACAAGCAATAAAACAGGGGGTTTCAGGGTGACCTTAACATGACAAATAGTTTAATGAAAGTACTGCAAATCTTGGCTTCCATTTCAGAGTTCTTTCCATATATCAAGCCATATATATATATATAATTTACTATATATATATTAGTAAGTATAAATAACAATGTATAAATAAAAAGCAATACATTAGCAATTTAAAATACTACCTCAAAAGTACCTTTGTAAAATAAAAGCAAAATATATGTTTTTTATTTCAAAGAGAAAAAATTGAAAATAACAATAAAACAGAGTTTCAAAAGAGATTAATAGGAGAGTAACAATAATTAATACATGCACAGGCATGAAATATTATCCAAACAATGTTAATACAAACCTTCCTTTTCAATGAACTAAGAGATATTAGCTGTACAACTATGTTGTGTGTATATTTTTTTCCTTTTCCCTTCCTTCCTTTCCCCATTCTCCCATCACAGTTTTTCTTTGCTTTTGGACAGTTTCTTCCCTATTCCCAATATCTATTTTACACTTTGGATCTTATTTACTTGTTCAGTTTCTTACAGTAGTGAGACAACACGATGTTTACACATGTGAATCTGATTTATTTCACTTATGAGTATGGTCTCTAGTTGCATTCATTTACTTATAAATGTCTCATTTTTATCCTTCTTTATGGATGAGTAATATTGTTATATTAAAAAAAAAACATCTTTTTTATCCATTCCTCAGTTGATGGGCATTTGGGTTGTTTGCAAGTTTTGGCTATTACAAATTGTGCTGCTATAAACATAGATATGTATATATTGCAATGGTATGATGCTTTTAACTCTTTTGAGAAGATACCCAGGAGGCAAACTGCTTGGTCAAATAGAACTGCTAGTCCTAGTTTCCTGAGGAATCTCCGCACTGATTTCCACAGTGGCTGCACCAGTCTACACTCTCACCAGCAGTGGATAAGGGTTCCTTTTTACCCACAGCCTCTCCAGCATTTGTTATGGGTTGATTTCTTGATGATAGCCATTCTTTCTGGGGTGAGATGGAATCTCAGTGTTGTTTTAATTTACATTTCTCAAATAACCAATGATGCTGAACACTTCTTCATGTATTTATTTGCCATTTGTGTATCTTCATCTGAGAAGTTCATATTGATTTCAGAAGCCCATTTTTGGATTGGGTCTTTGAATCTGGGGAGCCTAAAGCACAACATATTTAAAGAATGAGAGTTGAAATTTTCAAATTACATAGAAAAATTTTCAGACTATTACTGTGATCAAAATAAATATCAGAAAAACATCTAAAGACATGCAACATCAACTAAAAACATTGATTATTCAGAATGGAAATAAAATATATCATAAGAAGAGACAAAGTTCAAGCTCAATTTGAATCTAGAGAAATATGGTTACATATTTACAGTTATAATACACTTGATGATAGGACTTCTCAGGAGAACATCTAAAGTAAAATATTAAATGAGATTTTTCCAACATTTGAATTTTATAGATATAGTCTTTAGTAATAGAGTATTACCTTCATCATCTTGAAAAAATTACCCTCCCAGCTATAAAACTTAGTATTATGGATGTGAAAAATCAATAGTGATAGATAAGTACCACTATGCTTAAATTTTAAAGTCATTATTAATTTCGTATAACTTCAGCAGAATTTTTCATTAGGTGCATCCAGATACAATTACCACAGGAAATTCTCTACACTCTGATCAAAATCTTGAATCATATTATTGATAATCGAATAAAATTCATTGCTCTTGGCTAAGGCATTGAAGGCCTTCTTGTTCTGGCTCATCCTAACTCTTTCAGCACTATTTCTTACACTGTTGTACAAATATACTAAACATTGTATGCTTTCCCACTTTTACATCTTCTCCCCCAAACTTTTTCCCTACTGGAACAGCTTCCCTTTCCCCTTGTTAAAATACTTTTTGTTTAGTCTTCAGAAATGGGAGTGAAATTCAGTGGTAGAGCACGTGCTTATCATTCACAATGCCCTGTGTTCAACCTCAAGACAAAACAAAATAAAACAAAATAGAAACAAAATCAAACAAAACAAACTAAAACACACTGAAGGCCAGCTTACATCTTGTTTCCTTAGTGATCGCTTTCGTGGTCATCTCACCTGTAGGAGATATCTTCCTCTATTAAGGTGCCTACCAGTTTGTCTTATGTTCTGATAATTGTCATAACTCCCAAATATTTATAAGTATCATAATACCAGAGATTGTCTCAAACTTCAATATTTCAAATGAATTTATTTTAGCACTTTAGATCAAGTGTGTAATCATTTTTGTCCCACATGTACTACAGAGTCAAAAAAGTGGAAGAACTTTTATATTTTTATTGTATTTAACAATCTTCTAAATTAAACTCAAATGCATATGCCAAAACTTTCAAGATGCCAATAATTTTAATTCTGTTGTGTTTGTCATTTATAGCTATTTTGTTCCCATATCTAATGATCTCTTTTATTACCCACAAAACTATTTTTGCCACTACAAAATATAAAAAGCAATGAGGGAAAGCAGAAGGAAAGAAATAAAGAAAGAAAGAAGGAAAGGAAAGAAAGAAAGAAAGAAAGAAAGAAAGAAAGAAAGAAAGAAAGAAAGAAGAAAGAAAGAAAGAAAGAAAGAAAGAAAGAAAGAAAGAAAGAAAGAAAGAAAGAAAGAAAGAAAGAAAGGAGAAATGTATATATGTATATATAAGGTTAGCTGGGATAATTGTACTGCTGATGTCTATTGGTTTATTGAAAGAAACAGCTAATGCTTAAATTTTTTGACCAATTTTGTATGCTTATGTCTAGTAATCTGAAAAACTAATTTGAAGACAACAATATGCAATATAACAACTATTGGTGAATTCCTACCATCTTGTTTAGTGAAGCTATGCATCTTTTCTAATTTTTTTTGTTATTTTTTATTCTCTTATTGGTTTGATCAATTTTAGATTCTTACGTCTAGCAATCTGAGCAACTTTGTTGAAGATAACAATAAGTAGTATAACAACCTTTGTTAATTCCTATCACTTTGTTCTGAAACCCCTTATCATTTTTATAGTTTTAGTGTTGTTTTGCTTTTCTCTATGTTGGTGTTATCTTGTTATTCTTTTTATTCTCTTTAAAACAAAATTAAATTAAAAACAGAAAAGTAATCCTCACATAATTTAAACATATTTACTTTTAATTTTTTTTTACAAATAACTAAAGAAGAAAAAGAAATAGAATTTAAACATACTTATTTGGATTACGAGGATAATAAAAGTGGAATTTACTCCAGATATCAAATCTTGCCTCCCTACAAGTGGACATCCTATCACCACTGCAGAATGACTACTTGAGAAGAACGATGATAATGAGGTCACACCCCTTCCCAGGGTTTCCAAATGATTACTTCTCAGATGGGAAACTTTTAAGTTCCAATAAAAAATACATTATAAGCCACACAACCTTTTAACCACAAAATTATGAACCAAAAAAAGCAAGTAACTTTAGTGCATGCATATAATTGTTATAGGCTGTGGTAGGCAGTTATAATACTCTAAAACACTACTTACTGAAGTGGCACTAATAGTAATAGTGGAATATAACATCTCATAAGTTATTATAAGGTTGTAATTTCATTGTCTTTTCCTGTAAGAAACTAAATCGTGCAGGCCAAATTTAAAACAACTTGGAAAAAAAAACCTTAGAGTTAAGTTATGGGGAAATTTACAAATAAATTACAATGGTCAATCACAAATTCTGCCATCCCATCCTAACCTGTGAGGGCTCAGCTAGGAACTTGACTATGGGCTGCTAAGTATTTGTGTCAGATACAAAATATAAACTATTTCCAGGCCAAAGGAAAAACAAAGAGTAATAAAAAATGGAAATAAAACAGAAATATTCATATTTATAGCTGTTAGGATTGTTGCTATGCCCCCTCTCTTATTTTCAATTTCATTTTCCAAGGTTTCAATTATCCATGGTCAGCCACATTCTGAAAATAGTAAGTAGAAAACATTAGGAATAAACAATTCAAAAATTCTAAATTTCATGACATTCTAAGTAGCATAAGGAAATTTCATGCCATCCAGCTACATCCTGCTATGACATGCATAATCCTTTTGTTGAGGATATCTGTATTATGTATACTGTCTTTCCACCTGTCAGTCACTTCATAGCCAACTCGGTCATCTGATCAAATGTTACAGTATTGCAGTGCTTGTGTTCAAGTAACCTTTGTCTTACTTTGTTACAGTCCCAAGACATAAGAGATGTGAAGATAGCAATTCAAGTATGTCAATGAGAAGCCACAGTAGCACCATGGAAAAGTCCAAAGTAGCAGTGACAATAGAAGCCAGCACTCGGTAAGTTAAGTCAATCACCATTGTGCTTGGTCACACAGACACATGGAATTGAAGTGGGCAGGTAGGGTCAACTTTTTTTTACTAAAGAGCTTGGGGAGAACTCCAGCAGCAGAAGGCCAGTCCCAGCCCCCACATCCAGAGACCAAGATCAGCCCCATACCCAGCACAAATCCCACTGCAAACTTGGCCAGAGAACACATTTCTGGATCCCACTTGGACATACCACAGAACTGTAGACACCAGAGGAATTTTACTATTTTTGTTTTTCTCTGTTTGTCTGATTGGTTTTCCTCTTTCTGATCAGCTAGGTTTGTGGGGTTTTTTATAACTCTGTTCTATTTTGTCTCTTTTTTTCTGTGTGTTGTTGCTATTTTTGATTTCTGTTTTTTCTTTTTTCTCTTTTTTTTCACGACTTAGATGTCTTGCCTTGCCTTTCTGCTGTTCTTCCTCTCTTTCATCAACAATCTTGCTCAATTTTTATGGTACTTTCACATGGGTAAATATTCTTTCTGGTTAACTTAGATACTCCTAGGCTTTCTCTTCCATTCCTCCCCTCTCATAAGCTAAAGCTTGAATGATCACCCTTTGCCCTCCAGCCTTGCTCCTACTGTACTCAACCACATTCATCTCTCCATCCTGCCCCCTCCCTCTTAAACCCCACACACATAATCACTCTTCTATGTGGAAAATCACTGCAGACAAGTTCCTGGTGTAAGTTGCTTCCGTGGTTAAAGATATCAGGCTAATAGTTACCACAGTTTTTCAGTAGCCACGCTATGCTTGAGACTATTGCTATTGCTAACTCTACTACTTTAAGCAGGATGTAATACCTGTTATAATCAGTTTTTTCTCCCTTGTATGGCAATGCTGCAATTGTAAAGGGTCATAACCATCACCACAGTCCAGTACCAAAGGAATGGGCCCTGAGCCAAACAGATAACAACTTCTCAATCTTAATATATTGGGAATGTAGGTTCTTGAGATAGACATAAAGACCAAGAACCACCCACATCTGGAAGACATCCTGAGGAACAGACATGTCCTAGAGAAGCTCAGTATCAGGAATAAAGCTATATAACATAAGAAATCTACAAGCATCAACACAGAAAACAAAATAAAATAGAACATGACAAGAAGAAGAAGCAAAATGCAACCAATAAATATGCAGCATTCAAGAAACTCATTTAACCCAGAAAGAAATTCATAGACTAAAAGTGAAAGCATGGAAAAAAATATTCCGTGCCACAGAAACTCATAAAAAAAAAAAAATCAGGAGTGGCTATTCTATTTGCAGACAATGTAAATTTTAAGTCAAAACTGATCAAAAGAGAGATGGTCACTACATACTTGTAAGGAAAAACTCCAAAAAGAAGAGATAATAATCATAAATACATATGCACCAAATATCGGTGCAGACAACTACATAAAACAAATGTTAATGGACATGAAAAATCAAATAAGCACTAACATAATTGTAGGGGGGGACCTCAATACCCCATTCTCACAAACAGGTAGATCAACCAGACAAAAAATTAACAAAAAGATATCAGAATTAAACAAAAGCTGTGAACAAATGGACTTGGTCAATATGTATGGAGCATTCCACCCCAACACATAAAATACACATCCATCTCAGCTGCACATGGGTTGTCTTCCAAAATAAACAAAATACTAGCCAATAAAACATGCTTAAGTAAATGCAGAAGAATCGAAATCATCCCATACTATCTGACCATAACACAATAAAACTGGAAATTATTGGAAAAGAGATCACAAAAACTACATAAACATAAGGAAATCAAATACCCCTCTGAACAACCAATGGATCACAGAGGAAATTAAAGATGAAATTAAACAGTATCTGCAATTAAATGAACATACTGGAGATTATGGGACACCATGAAAGCAGTCCTATGAGGAAAATTTATAGCAATGAATTTTCACACTAGGAAAACAAAACAAGCTCAAATAAACAAAATAATGTTGAACCCCAAACTTCTAGAAAAAGAAGAATAAATCAAACCCAAAGCTGATATGAGGTAGGAAATTGTAAAGATAAGAGCAGAAATTAATTCAACAGACTGAGAAAACAATACAAAGAATCAGTGACTCAAAAAGTATGTTCTTTGAAAGAATAAGTAAAATTTATAAACTTTTAGCCAACCTCATCAAAAAAGAACAAAGAAAAACTCAAATTCAAGCAACGGGTCCTACAGAAACCCAGAAGATCATCAATAACTACTTTGAGAATCTGTATTCTAATAAGATGGAAACCCAGATTCCTAGACACATACAGATTGCCAAAACTGAACCAAGAAGGTATAAAAGTTCTAAATAATTTGATATCAGATAATGAAATTGATAATGTAATTAAAAACTTACCAACAAAGAAAAGCCCAGGTCCTGACCAATTCACAGTTGAATTTTACAAGAAATTTAGAGACAAACTAATGCCATTAATGTTGAAATCTTTAAGGATATTAAAAGGGAAGCAATACTTCCAAAATCATTACTGGAAGTAAGTATTATCCTGATTCCAAAAGCAGAGATGAACCAAACCAAAAAGAGAACTACAGTCCAATCTCCTGAGTGAACATAACTGCACAGTTCTTCAATAAGATACTGGCAAACAGAATACAGCAAATCATCAAGATTATTCACCATGACCAAGGAGGATTCATCCCAAGGATGCAGGGATGGTACAACATATGCAAATCAATAAATGTATAACACAACAATAACAGTCAAAGACAAAGATCATATGATCATATCATTAGATACAGAAAAAAACATATGATAAAGTCAAACATCCATTTCTGATTTTTAAATAATAACCTACAGAAAATTAGAATAGATGACCTTTACCTCAATCTGATAAAAGCCATCTATTACAAACCAACAGCTGACATACTAAATGGTCAGAACTTTCACTCTAAAATCAGGAACAAGACATGGATGGCCGCCACTACCACTCCTATTCAACATAGTTCTAGAAACATTAGCCAGAACTGTCAGACAAAAAAAAGAGGATAGGAAAGGAAGAAGTTAAATTATCACTGTTTGTACATGACATGATATTCTACATAGAAGACTACAAAAACTCCAGTAAAAGACTTCTAGATTTAATAAGCAAATTCAGTAGGGTAGCTGGATACAAAGTCAACACTCAAAAATAAATAGCTTTCTGATACAAAAAAACAAACCCAGAGAGAGGGAGAGAAAACAGGGAAAGCACAGCTTCCACAATAGAATCCAAAAAAAAAGAAACTTAGGAATCAATCTAACAAAGGAAGTGAAAGATCTATACATTGAAAACTACAGTACTCTGAAAAGGAGATTGAAGAGGATATTAGAAAATGGAAAGATATATTTTGCACATGGATAAGAAGAAACCACATAGTGAAAATGCCATACTGCCAAAACTGCTATACATAGCAATCTCTATCAAAATACCATTAACACACTTTACAGATATAAAGAAAACATCCCTAAAATTCACTTGGAACTAAAAACATCTAGAATAGCAAAAGCAGTTCTAGGCAACAAAGGCAACTCAGGGTCATCACAATTCCAGACCTGAAATTATACTACAAAACTACTGTGATAGAATCAACATGGTACTGGCAAAAAAACAGACATGAGGATCAGTGGAACAGACTAGAACATGCATATACATCCCCAAACACACTCAGTCACTTTATCTTTAGCAAAGGATACAAATATGTTCTCTGGGAGAAAGATAATCTCTTTAATAAATGGTGCTATTAAAACTGGCTTTCCACATGCCAAAGACTAAAACTAGACCCATGTCTATCCCCATGCACTAGACTGAAGTCAAAATGGATCAAAGACCTAAATATTAAACTAGAAACACTAAATTTACTGGAAGAGAAAATAGACAGAAATCTCAAAGACATAGATACAGGCAGAGACTTCATGAACAAAACCCAAACTGCAAGAGAAATAATACAAAGAATCAACACCTGGGATCGCACCTTATTAAAAGGCTTTTGCACAACAAAAGAAAATCTCCAACAGAGTGAAAAGACAACCCACAAAATGGGAAAACTTTATAACCAGCTGCCCCACAGACAAAGGACTTGTATCTAGAATATATAACAAATTTTAAAAATCAGACCCCCCAAATTCAAAGACCCAATCCAAAACTGGGCATCTGAGATGAATGCACACTTCTCAGATGAAGAAATATAAATGACAAATAAATACATGAAAAAATGTTCAACATCATTGGTCATTCAAGAGATGTAAATTAAAACAATACCGAGATTCCATCTCACTCCAGCAAGAATGACAATCACCAAAAACAACCCATAGCAAATGCTGGAAGGACTGTAGGGAAAAAGGAACACTTCTCCACTGCCGGTGGGAACATAGACTGGTGCAGCCACTGTGGAAATCAGCGTGGAGATTTCTCAAAAAACTAACACTAGAGATTCCATTCCTCCCAGCTAGTCCCCTTCTGGGTATCTTCCCAGAAGAATTACAAACATCGTGCCACAGTGATATATGTGCACTCATATTTATAGGAGGTCAATTTGTAATAGCTAGATCTTGTAAACAGCCCAAATGCCCATCAACAGAGGAATGGATAAAAAAAAGATGCGGCTTTTTAAAAATATAATGGAGTACTACTCAGCTACAAAGAAGGGCAAACTGGAGACTTTTATAGGTAAATGGATGCCACTTCAGACCATACTCATAAGTGAAATAAATCAGATACATATGTGTAAACATGTTATTGTCTCACTAGTGTAAGAAATTGAAAGAAATAAGAAATTGAAAGAAATAAGAAATGAATTGTACAACAGATATTGTGAACTGGGATAAAACTGTGCAAAAGAAAAGACAAACTGTGATGGGGGAAAGAGGAAAAGAAGGAAGGGGGGAAAAGAAAAAATATGTATCACAAAATAGTTAAGATAGTTTTACAGCTAGCTTGTCTTAGTTCCTTGAAAAGAATGCTTTGTGCTAATATTGTG